CTATGACTGTATGCTATGCATGTTCATAATAACAACTCTGTAAAATAGGGAGGATTATCTCTAAATTTGGAGGTGAGGCTGAGCAAAGGACAGTTTGCCCAATTCTTGGTTGAGCTGAGATCTGAAGCAGAGACTTTTCAATACAGGCTGGTTATTAATTTATAGAAAGCCAGCTCAGAGAAATTGAATGATACCTGAAGCTCTCTCGGCCACAGTTCAGTTTAGGGGACCGGTGCTGCTGCAGCTATCCACCACCTGGGCTGCATGAGTCCCACTATGATATATGTATGGTTTATATTACACAGCATTTAAGCAAAATGGATGTTCTTATACAGCATGTTGCTTATATGCTATGTAGTTCAGTTTTATTAGATTTAATCATCATTCTGTTGGGAGTTTTTTACGTACTCCTCACCCCGTCTCTCAATCAACTACTAAGAGAACTGCATGTACAAGAAGTCTGAGGTTCTGGACAAGGATTCCAAGCTGATAATCTGTCAACAAAGCTGTCACCCTCGCCATGGCATTCGGAGGGCAGGGAAGGCCCAATCTGCCCTGTTTGCGCAGGCTCAAAGGTCTCTGGGCTGTGGCTCAGCACCAGTGACATCACCGGGCATACTCTGGAGCCTACGGCCACCCAAGCTTGCCATGCCCTCTTCCCATTCAGTTATACAAGAAGTGAGGTAGGGAAGTCTTCCATCTTATGTTACTTACAGCACAGTCCCATGCATGCTTACTCACAGAAGTAAGTCCAACTGTGTTCAGTGAGGCTTATTTCCAAGCAAGTGTGCATAGGACTACACCTTAAATTTGTTTATCTTTGCACAATTAAATTCCCTTCCAACCCAAAATTTTTACAAGAAGCTACTCATACATCAAGGACTGCCCATGTTGGCAAGGGGGCATAATCTGGCCCTGAGTAAGCTTGCAGTGGCAATTGTGCTGCATCTTTCGCCCACTGGAGCTCTGCTTGACTTTGGCTGGATTTAAAAACTAGCAAACAGGAAAGGGGGCATAAAGAAGGAGTGAAAGGAGGTGGAGGAAATGGAAAAGTCTGATCAAGTACAAAGAAAGGAGTGGAAGCTGAGCTCATTCCCTGGGTTTTTGTTTGAACAATGAAGCCCTTGCCCAAAGAAAAAATCATGTTTAAAAGACCATGAAGAGAAATCATGCTTAAACGACCATGAAGTAAGGAGAAGAAATTCATGTTGGGTATGAATGGCACAATGATGGGGTTGAGGAGTGGTGCACTCAATCAGAATTATTCCAGGGAGGCAACTATGTCTGTTGGCGTAGCTGCATTCTTATGCCAATTTATAAGAAGCAAGCCCCACTGAACCAAATGTACAAGATTGTGGTGTCTTAAAAGTTAAGCTTTTTTGGGCCAGAGCCCACAACTACTGGGGAGATGGACAGTCTTGGCAGGAGACATGCACGGAACAAAGGGAAGGGGGTCAGGAAGGCTGTTGGGGGGTTAGTTGTGATAATTCATGCAGGGAAATAACCAGAGCATGGCCTTTAGACACACTTGAAAAGATCCATTTAAATGGATGTTAATTTCCAAATAAATGCTTTTTAACAGTGAGCTACAGTATTCCCAGAGTGACACATTCCTCCAGCTGGTATCACAGACTGGGTACCTCTCCCATTCCCTGTTTCTTTCTCTTTTATTGATGAGTGCAGTGCTTCCCCCATCCTGTCTTTAAAAAACAAAACAAAAAACAGGGACAACTAGCTGAAAATAAAATTATCCACATCATAATGCCACCATCCAAATTTATGATATGACTGCTTTGGAATACTGTGTACTGTCCTGATCATCTCACATCAAAAAGGATATTGCGGAGTTGGGAAACGTTCAGAAAAGGGCGACTGGGATGGAGCAACTCCCCTATGATAGGTGGGCATTTGCAGTGGTGGCTACCAACCTGGGTGGTTTTAAAGGAGGATTAGACAAATTGATGGAGGATATGGCTATCCAATGGCTACTAACCCCAAGCACTATGTTCTACCTTCACTTGTTGGAGCCAGTATGCTTTTGAGTATCAGCTGCTGGAGAACAGGATACTGGACTAGATGGGACACTGGCCTGATCCAGCAGGTCTCATCTTACTTTCTTAGGAGGAGAGGCTTCTGGCATAAATGAGTAATTCCCAGTGACTTGCAGCAGCATTTCAGTCTGAAAGTGGCAGCCTCTATCTACATTGCTTCTGCTAAACACACAAGTTCAATGCTTTTCTGAATTGTAACAGGAAAGACGTTTTTTTACTCTTGTGGTTTGGATGGACACACTAATTCTTGCCTTTCAGAGCAGTGGGAACACACATGCATCACATGGTTTAAATAGTTTACCACAATGGATTCTTGACAGCCGTTATTGTGTGTAGCCAACAGAATTGTCAAAGAACCTAGACTGAAATGCAGTCAGATGAGCCATTATTAGCCCTCCTCAAGCCTAGTACCCTTGCATATTGCTTAAGCCAGCTCTAGCCAACCTTCTGCCCTCCAGGTGTTTTGGACTACAACTCACCTCAGCCCCAATTAACATGCTGGGTAGCAGGTTGGCCAAGTCTGCCTTGTGCAATTGTGGCAGTGTTATCTGTTGCAACTGCTGAAGAACAGGTCAATTTTTTATTCTTACTTCCACAAAAAGGGAGCTGCGGTCCCTGCACTACACTAGTCATTTCAGCAATTTGTACTGCACTCACCAAGGGCAGGGATCCAAGCCAGTTCCCTTCATCTCTAAAGTCTAACGTATGGCCAGACTCCATCACTAGCCTCGCCTTACAGTACCACCTCTACTTGCCCAAGCCCCAATCAGGCTCTTGCTAACCTTGTTTCCCAGAAATCTGTCTTCAGTCTAGCAGCATTCATATCCCCCCTGCAAATGAGCCCAGCTGGCCTCTCATTAGCTTCTAGTCACTATTACTAACAAGATTTGCCAAGTCAATCCAGGCTCCCCAAAAGGATTTGTCTAGTAAAGTTGAAGACAGCTCTAGATTCAACACCTGAAGGCACTCAAATGGGGTAAGTGGGGGCGGGGGAGGAAAGAGGTCTGAACAAGAAGCTATTTTTATATATGTAAATATAAAGCACTAAGACCAACATCTGGAACAGCAAGCGATCTGTGGAGCATCTCCCTGACATTTTATAAATAAAGCTGCCCATTATCACGAATTGGACCCAATTAGCTGACTCAGCTGAGAAAATCTATGTGGCAGAAAGGAGCCTTCCCCAACCTGGAGTTCTTCAGATGTTTTTGACTATAACTCATCCCCAACCTGGTGCCTTCTAGGCGTTATGAAATACAGCTGTTCATCTTAACACCTAGAGGGCGCCAGGTTGGGGAAGACTGATGAACAGTATTCTCAAAGCATCCATCTAGAAATACCTACTAACAGGAACTTGATGTGCCTTGCTGAAACATTGGGGCTGAGCTTCTAGGGTTCCTGCTCAGAGGAGCTTACAATCTAAGAGAGAGGTGTTGGATCAGAGGCAGGGAGAATAGAACGACAAAATGCAGGGCACCCCTAAATCTGCACTACCTCTTTAATCCAAGATTACTCCACATCTCCCCTGAAGGAACACACAGTCTATATGATTTACAGACTTCTGGCAAGACATGTGCTCCTGCGGGGACATATAGAAAGAGGACACTTGATCCCCAAATCCATCCCCACCTGTTGCCATGAATGCCACTCTCATAAAAAGCAAGGATAAATTAAAAATTCTTTTGCGGAATATTTTCTTTCATCCCCCATTGCCCAACACCATTCCTACATGAAACAAAACCCAGTAAGAATTTGCTACTAACCAAATGGAAGAAGGATTTAACCTCCTCTCAAGGCTTTGCAGGCTGCATAAATGTGACAGCAGCTATGGGAGGCTACTAGCTGTGATTGCTTTCCAGGGCCAGAGGCCGGATGCCTATGAATACCACTTGCTGGGGGAAATCGGCAAAACAGGGCAACTGCACTCATATCCTGCTCAGGCACGGGCCCTACCATTGGCCAGCTGTGTTTGGGTGCCATGGTGGGGCATCAAATTATTAAGTTATTTAGTTTAATTTTTATTGTACTTTTACTGTTGGAGAAGAGGAGCTTTCTACCTTAAGTGGCAGAATAACTTGGCTGTGCTTTAGCACTTTAACTGGTTCAAGCAGCAAAGTATTTAGGGCCGGCCCTTGCAGCTTCTGGTTGGCCAGTGGCCTGGCCTATGCTGGACCAGAGAGGCCTTTGGGTGGATCTAGCAGGTCTCTGCCTATTTCTCCTTTCAATAATTAATGCCTTTCAATCGCTGAACTGTATTATTCACACTGGTAAGGAACAATATTTTTCTATCCAGGATGGTTTGCACGGACTTGCCATGTGTACAAGGAGTAAAGTTATCCAAACAAAATCCGTATGCACACAGCTGTGGAGTTTGCAGGATTCCTCAACCTACTAAAAAGCCGGGGGAGGGGGATTGGGAAAGGCAGTGACCATTCTGATCTATTCAGGTGTGTTCCCGATGCAAAAGTTAACTCACACCACTGGATACAGGTAAGTTTCACATTTATGAATGCCCAAATCAAAGGCACTTCTTCAAAGAGGACGAGTTACTTGTTAAAGTGACATGCTACAAGATAGTTTACCCCCTCCCCCTTTCCCAGAGTAAGCAACAAAAGTATAACAACTTATCCTGTAGGTATGAAACGAAACCCCCAAGTGTTTGGGGAGAACTCCACGTGACTTTGGTGAAAATGAACTCTCAGCTCCTCTTGAGGAAACAGTCTGGTGTCACGGCTCGCCACCCTCCGAACCGCATACATTGCTACCTAACGCGGTTTGCAATGTGTTCTTGTGAATACGAGAGAGACTCGAGAAATCCCATGCGTCAGCCTTTCCTTCTTCGTTTCGTGAAGTTGCCGGTTCTTTTACCTTACCCCACCAAGCAAACCCCACGCGCCTACAAGGCGCGCCGAACTCGAACTCGCTCCCGCCGCCCATCTTCTTGCTCACCTTGTACACTTTGCCGAAGGCGCCGTCGCCCAGCTCTCCGACGATCTCCCACACCTCGTTGGGATCCAGGTCCCGGCAAACGTGCTCATACTCCTTGGATCGGCGCTTCTCGAAAGCAGAGAGGCGCAGGATGCGGCGGAAATTGGCGAACGCCATGGCACTGCCCCGGGCTGGCCCTCGATGGTCCGACCATAAACCGAGAGGGCAGAAGGGAAACGGGTCCGGCGAGCCAGCAGGCGCTGCGGTCGGCTAGTCCGCGAGAGGCGAGCGGCAGCAGGCACCGGCTGGTTGGGCGGCAGCTCTCGAACCCAGAGCCGCTCTGGAGAGCAGCGCGCAAGAACAACTCCTGCCCGGCAGACGCACCGTTGCCTCGGCTGGGAAAGCGAAAGGATCGGCTCAGCCTGCTCGGCTGCCTCTCTCTGCGCTTCCGCGGCCACGCGTGGCGCGCCCCCTCGCCGGAGAGCGCAGGAGCCGGCGCTCCGCAGCGACCACCCCGGAAGAGAGCGCTCAAGGCGAGCGCGTGGAGTGGCCTCGCAGCGCCGCTTCACCTGCTCGGGCTTGGGCGCGCATCTCTGCCCCCGCCCCGTCCTGGCCACACCGGGAGCCCTCCGCGTCCCGCTCGCCCCGCCTCCTCCTCTCGGAGCCGCCACTTGCGTGTCTTTCCTGGCCCCGCCCCGGAGCCGTGGGTCGTGTGAGCCCGCCCCCTGCTCGGCCAAGCAGCCCTCCGCCGCTTCCACAGCGTCCCTCCTTCGCAAACACCCCTCGCAAGGGGCCAAGGGAATTGTAGTTTCCGTTTCCGATTCCTTTGCCCCTGCTGGGGATCGGGAAGAAGAGGGGTCTCTCCAGGAAGGGAGGCCACCCGGCGAGCAAGCGAGCGGTCCCGGCTGGCGCTCCAGTGGCTTCGTGGCTAAGACGTGCAGCCCCGCGAGGAGGCTGAAGCTGAAAGCGGGACGTTATCTCGTGCGCCGCCGGCACACTTTCTAACTCTGGGAAACCCGGGAGGATTAAAGATTAAATCACTTCTTTGGAAATGGTCCGAAGGGAGCTAAGAATGTGCGTGTCGGGGAGAAGCGATCTAGCAACCCCGCTTACCTGGGAGGGAGCGCCACTGAATGGAACAGGAGTTCCCTTTGAGCAGACTTGGCTCAGATGGTGGAGCTGTAAATGTCATTCTTGAGCAGAGAGTCTCTTATTCAGATAACGATTTGTAAATTGTAGCTCTACATTGATTAGCAACACTAGCTTTAGGGTTGCAAAAACACACAGACACCACCCCCCCCCACTGCGTTCCTGAAGGGTGGTAGAAGCGGTACAGTGGCACCTCGGGTTACATACGCTTCAGGTTACATACGCTTCAGGTTACAGACTCCGCTAACCCAGAAATAGTGCTTCAGGTTAAGAACATTGCTTTAGGATGAGAACAGAAATCGTGCTCCGGCGGCACGGCAGCAGCGGGAGGCCCCATTAGCTAAAGTGGTGCTTCAGGTTAAGAATAGTTTCAGGTTAAGAACAGACCTCCGGAACGAATTAAGTACTTAACCCAAAGTACCACTGTATTTGAATGGGTGTCTTTGTAAACAACCAATATTTGTGTGGAATTAATAATATTACCACCAGTACCCATGGTTTGGTGGCAGTGGCTTAGTCACCTAATTCAGAATACAGTGGTACCTCAGGTTACAGACGCTTCAGATTAGACACCAGTAACCCAGAAATAGTACCTCAGGTTAAGAACAGTTTCAGGTTAAGAACGGACCTCCGGAACCAATCAAGTTCTTAACCCGAGGTACCACTGCAGAGTGGGCGCTCGGGTTGCGAATGTGATCTGTGAGGGATGCACGTTCGCAACCCGCAGCTGCGCGTCTGCGCACGCGCGGGTTGCTATTTGGCGCTTCTGCACATGTGTGACCGCCAAAACCCGGAAGTAACCCATTCCGGTACTTCTGGGTTTTGGCGGCCCATAACCCGAAAAAACGCAACCTAAAGTGTCTGTAACCTAAGGTATGACTGTAATCAAAGCTGCTCCACCTATGAGGCTGGGTGAAGCGCTCGCCTCAGGCAGCGGAAGTGCAAGAGTTGGCACTCTGCTCACCCCACTGTTCTATCACCACCAGAACGCCACCCTCTTGCTGGCCACACGGAGGGGCTATGGTGCGCGGTGCTGCTAATCATCTTACCCCAAGGCAGAGGAGCCAAGCGGCAACACTTTGTGGAACCCCCTGGCTTTTGCCGAACCTGGTGGCAGCTGGGGTGTTGAAGTGGTGTGGTGTGGCATGGCGGGAGCAGTGGGGAGAGAGCAGGAGGCAGCAATTCCCTTTTTGCCTCAGGTGGCAGAACAGGCCAGGGCGGGCCACCTCTGATTGTAATATAAAATTATTCACAATAGCATGTCTTTAGTGGGCTTCCTACAACATAACACACACACACACCTATTATAAGTCATGCCAAATTTACCTTGCAAAAATGTCAAGGAGTAAGTTAGACAGGGTTACAGCAAGCAAATATGAGCCAATTACAGCTGTGCAAATATGAGCCAATTACAGCCAATGGCCGTTTGCTGAACCTGTCTTCTGAGGGCCCTGCTCTCTCCTTTGGTTTCTTCTAAGCTCACTTCTGTAGTTTCTGAGGCCTCTGTATGATCTTTCCAGCTTCAGGATTGCCTGATTTGCTCTGATGACCTTTGTTACTCTGGCACGTAGCTTGCAACTCTACTATGTCCTCACAGAGGCTTAAGAGTATCACATCCCTTTACCTGCCATTGGCTTAGTACCTCTCATCTCACAATGGGGCTTTGCAAAGGTACTATCTGGCAGCTGGACTGATAGGATAACGTTAGAGAAACCTGTTTTGAGATCCATGAACCAGTTTTACTAAATGAAACATATACTTCGACTTAATTGGACCTTGAACATATATTCTACTAGATTGGTACAGTAGTCTTGGCAGAAACAGACCACTTCTGCTGCCCATACATACTAACAAATGTAAATGAATAGGGACATCTAGAGGAACTGCTTGGAATTACAGAATTTGGAAATGACAGGACTTGCTATTTGGTAAATCTTCACTAGCTTTGCCAGTTGCCATTTTGGCTGTCCATCTTGTGACCCACCAGACTGAATCATCTCAAGCTGGGGTGGTAAAAAGCTCCTGGTCTGAAACCCCAGGGTTCTGCTTTTCCACCCAGGGGCCACATTCCCTCCTGACCACCCTTCTAGGGGCCAGTTTCTATACATGCTCATACATCCTCCTCTATTCTCCATCCAAGTAAGCAAGGGGCATTGTTAAAGGGCACATTCATGTATTGCAAAAAAACACACCTAATGAGGTGTGAAGCCTAGCAAAAATGTATCATACTCATGATAATAAATGCTGGAAATGTAAGGGAAAAGCAGGAACCTTTTACCACATGTGGTGGACGTGCCCCAAGGTAAAAGACTTCTGGGAAAGGATTTATAATGGACTGAAAAAAGTGTTGAAAAACACATCAAGAAACCAGAAGGCTTTTTACTTGTTATAGTGGGGGGTGAAATCCCCAAAAAGGATGTTACTTTTTTTCTGTATACCACAACAGCTGCGATAATATTACTAGCGAAGAATTGGAAGAAACAAGATTTACCAACTATTGAAGAATGGCAGATGAAGATGATGGACTATATGGAACTTGCCGAACTGACTGGGAGACTCCGGGACCAGAGAGAAGAGACGGTGGAAGAAGATTGGAAGAAGTTTAAAGAATATTTGAAAAAATATGTTAATATCTAAATCTTAGAATAGCTTTGGAAGTGGATATAGGCTGCAGGGTTAGAAGTAGAAGATAGTGTATTTTTAAAAAGTATTATTTGTAAGGAATAATATGTAAAGATTTTAATGGTAAAAGTAAGTGTGATTTAAAAAATGGTTAAAATTATGATATATGTAAACTAAAGATGAGGTAAAATGAAAATCAGATGGGGGGACTTGGGGAAGCTCACCTAACAATGTTTAGAAAAAATAAGAATAAGACAAGAATTTGTTTGTTTTTCTGTTTGTGTTGTTTATTTATGTTATAAAATGAATAAAAAAAATTGGGGGGAAAATAGGAGGTGTGAAGCCAGGCCACTGAGGGCCATGGCCTGGGGAGAGTACCAACGACAAGAGAGGCCTAAATAGCAGCATTTGACCCCCAGGACTGAGGTTCCTCACTCCCAGTATTCAATAGATGGTATGGTCTAAATGGACCAAAGGTCTGACTCTGTATAAGACAGATTTCTAAGCATTGTAGCTTGTCAGATATTGAACCCTGTTTTTGCAACTCCAGGAAGAAAGCACAAATAATGATCCAAGCCCTGAGAGCCTGCCATAAGTGGCAGGTAGACTGTTCGGCTTGGTGGGTTATAAGTTGTTACTATTCCTTATGTTTTACATTGATGTTGTGGGTTTTTGTATGCTGTTAGCTGTAATTCGTGTTTCCTTTTTGGGGGATGAAAAGCAAGATATACATTTTTTTAAAAAAATAATTGCAAAAACAAGTAATTTGTGATGTCCTGAGTTACAGCTTCATGATGGCCCGTGTAGAAAGATTAACAAAGACTGATACCAACAGGGGGCAACCCCACCTAGCCCCTGCAATGAGAGCAGGCAGCTGATAATGTGAGAAAGCCACTTTCAAATATCTGTTAAGCTTCAAACCTCCCTGAGTGGCCTTGAACAACTCACTCTCTCTCAATCCCTCCGACCTATCTGGGCCATTGTGGGCTAACACACCACCCTCGAGGGCTCTGGGCGAAGGATGATGTTACCCGGAAATGTAAGATGTTCTCATGACATTTCCTTAGACAAGAAGACCCTTCCAAGTCTACAATACTAAAGGGCAGTCCATGCAAAGTTTACATCAGGATTGTGGAAAAGACTCAGAGGTGGTCAGGTGAAAAAAATAAGATGAGGCTCCTGCACCTTTAAGAGCTGTGTAGAGGAGGAATTGATGCAGGTGTTGCTTGCTTTGCTAGTTACACATGCTGAAATTGGCCCTTCTACCCCATTATTAAAGGTGCAGGGGCCCAGTCTGCTTTTTTCAACTGACCATCCTACTGGGCACACAAGCTATGGAGCCCAAACCTGTGCAGTAAACTTTCTGCCCCTATCCCTTTTCTGCTTCTACCTTCACCTTGACGATTGCAATTTGAGGGAAGGTAAAATGCGCGGATCAATACTTAATCCATGGAGCAGGAGCATGTTCAGCCATTGGACTCTAAATTATCCTACCACCACCAATGGTCAGCGATTATGGGAGCTGTAGTCCGGAGACTCAGAGTTTCTGCTCCCAGCCTTAATCCAACTGATTTCAATGTGGAACCCCCCCCCCCAATTTCCTGTGGACTGCTCCAAGATCATTTCCAGTTTCGGTAATGTGTTGCTCCTGGGTCTGTTATGGCAGAGAGCACCCATTTTGAACATGGTAGAAGGTGGGGTCCCCCCCCTCTTTTCATCCTCCTGTTCTGGTTCCAAGGTGGAATTCTTTGACTGTGATGCAGGCGTCGCCGTGAATACCTGCCAGCGTTCCGCAGGTGAACGGTTTTCATTGTCGGCAAAATGAAGCTGAAACCCAAATGCTTCCTGCACTTTCTGTGTTTGGATAAAATCTACTGCTTGTTATCTGTCAGAAACGCAAGGGCACTGGCGTCCTACTTTCAACTGCTCGATGTTCACAAAAATAATTCTCTGAATGGTAAGTTTCACACAGCAGCTAAAGTTAGGCCACAAAGGTGTGAACTGAAACTCCCAGCATCATCTCACTTTGCCTTCAAGCAGTTGCTGCCCCTCAGATCAGCTAGAAAGAGGGACTTCACGCGCTAACTGATCGGAAGAGGGAGGTGGGGATCAGAGCAGAGCGCATGAACTCTGAAGGATGTCTTCAGAAATGAAGCCTGTGGTCTTTCATTCTTAAGGGGTTTGGCCACAAGCCAGATTATAAAAAGAACCACCCCAGAATGGACCAAATATCTGGGAGGGTACACTATTAGCACTGCTGGGCGGGCAAGTTACCCCTGGGAAGTTTACACACAAAGTGTGGAAGCATAAACTTTCCCTTCGTTGTCCCTAGTATCTGGAATTCAGAGGGCAAAACTAGGTTTAATAGCAGCAGCCCAACACGCAGAACTGGGTCTGACAATAAATTCCTATAACGTGACAGGGTGTGGTTTGGAGATTTAAGTGTAGGGTGGGTGGCTGTGGAGAACAGAACTCTTTCCTTTGCCTTCCACCTGCTGAAAATATACAGGTTTTCTTAAAAAAACTATAGTTTTTTAAAAATCGGAAGAAACCCACACTGGAAGAAAAACGGCTTATTAAAAAGCTATTTTGAGCGACAAAGCATGGCTGCAGGAGGGTTCAGTCTCCTGCTGGCATACTGTGATTTGAAGTGTCATTGTTGCATCTAGCTGCTCCTCAGTGTTGGAGCTCAGAATTCATCTGCTCATAATCCATTCCTGGGGCAAACGTAGGAGTGGGTGTTTTCTGAATATTGCCTCTCCTAACTTATGCTTTGAATATAAGAACAATATGATGAATATGTGTTTTCAAGTAAAATCATCTTCAATTGATGGCTCTTTAATGAGCATCAGTACTAGTTCTGCAACCACTTTCAGACCTCAGATTGCACTGCCCATACACTTTGAGGATTACGCGAGGCAAATGAAACGGTACGTCTCTTTCCAACTAATGCATGCCAAACATTTTGTGTCAATCAATCCAAAGGGGGAAGCTGATTTTCATGTTGTGGGAACATTTATTGCTAGGGGAGTGTGTTACCAAGATGCTCAGTATAACTGGAGCTTTGCACATGCCTCAAGACTGTGTGGATTTTGGCTTTGCTCTTGAGCAATGAGATATGGCCTAAACTGTCCCTGCCCCTCTGCCATATCTATTGCAAGCAGGTGCTCTCATTGAGTCTTAAAGTAATGGAGGCAACCTGCACCAATCACCTCCTGTAGTCCGATTGCCTAAACTTACATTTCCCGGGAAAGTGCTTAGTCCTTTCTTGTAGATAAAGTTGAATATTAAGAGCATGCTCTGATTTACAAGGCAGCAAAAAGAGGTCTCCTGGTCGTTCTGTTGTGGGGAAACCACATAGTATTCTGAGATGAATATGTAATTAAAGATGTATTTAAGGACATATTTAAAACACACATTTTTATGTGGATTTTCCCCAGATCTGCAGTTTTACAACTTTCTCCACTATGTAACTGACCTGAGCAAGGCTCAGATCATGCTGGTGTTTGACCTACTGGACTGGGATGGCAAAGGGGAGGTCAACTTTGATGAATTCTACATGTTGGTGTGCATCATAATGTCCCATGAGGTAAAGCTAACTTTGCAATTCCAGGCTGGGCTGGGGTAGGGGAGATGCTTCTGGCAGCAGAAAAGGTAGTAATGTTCAGTACCATATGTTCTGGATTCTATTTAGCTGAATAGGGGGCATTAAATGTAATATGGAGCCAGAGAGAATACATGCCCACCGAGCACTAAGAAAAAACAAACAAACCTTAGTTCTGGTATCACTAATGTGGTATCCATTGGTGTCAGTACACTCCCAGACACCTGCTGTGGTGCTTGTCAATGCCCCCTGCAGCTCCCCCCCCCCTTTAAAGTGCATTTGCTTGCCTTGGGGAGGAGTAGCTTGTTCCCACATTTTATTCTTCTGTGAAATGGGTATTTTGAAGTGTCTATGACGGTTTTAGATTTCCATATGTGTGCCTGGGCCACAAAAGATTGTGAGCCCATGCCTTTGTTCATCCTAATGCAGTGTTGGCCAAACATGGGTCTCCAGCTCTTTTGGGACTACAATTCCCATCATCCCTGACCACGGGTCCTGTTAGCTAGGGATGATGGGAGTTGTACTCCAAAAACAGGTGGAGGCCCAAGTTTGGCCAACCACTGATTAGGTATGATCATGGTTGAGGAAGCTGGAAATTGTCAGGCCTGCACACTGCTCCCCTTCTCCTTCTCTCACATCCACCCACCCAATACAGTGGTACCTCGCAAGACGAATGCCTCGCAAGACAAAAAAACTCGCTAGACGAAAGGGTTTTTTGTTTTTTGAGCTGCTTCGCAAGACGATTTTCCCTATGGGCTTGCTTCGCAAGACGGAAACGTCTTGCAAGTTTGTTTCCTTTTTCTTAACACCGTTAATACAGTTGCGACTTGACTTCGAGGAGCAACTCATAGAACGCGGTGTGTTAGCCTTTTTTGAGGTTTTTAAAGACTTTGGTGATTTTTGAAGCTTTTCCAAAACTTTCCCGACACCGTGCTTCGCAAGACGAAAAAAATCGCAAGACGACAAAACTCGCGGAACGAATTAATTTCGTCTTGCGAGGCACCACTGTACAAAGATGCTAGTTTGTGTTAAACAGAGGTCTCCAATACATTCAAAAAAGGGAACTCTGATTTAATGGTGGTTTACTAAGCTGGATCAGATTGTGGTTTAAGATCCCGGTTAGTAAACCAATATTTAAATCAGAGCTCTACTTTGAAGCTGGCATCTGAGGGAAGATTTGGATCTCTGCACTGAAGCCAGCACATGAGGAAGTGGGGGGAGGGACACACACCAAGAGGAGACATCATACTGTGCAGGATTCTCAATGCATTGCCAGTTCCAAAGTTCTTGGACAACCTCAATTTCATCTTTCATTAAACTGATCTGGGCAAATCTAGTGCTTCAGTTCCTACAGGAACCACTGCATTTTGGAGACTACAAATTCTGTTCTCGTCAGCGAGGTTTATCCTAGTTTCACCATTTGAGACAATGGTCCCTTTGCTCTTAATAGCAACCTCAAAGAAAACAAAACACAAAGACCGGAATGTGCAGATGAGGAATGTTAAAAAGTCATATTCCCCCCGCCCATAACATCAGAGTAACATACGTGCCAATGCTTGGGTTTTATACTGCTGGAATTTATTTATTTTTAAAGAAACTTAATTTCTACTCTAACTTCTCTTTCTGGGATCAGAACCACCTTGAAAAGCAGTTCATGTATCGTCATTGTCATCCAGTTTTTGAGCTGCTGGACATTGATGGAGGGCACACAGTCGGCCCAGCAGAGTTCCAATCCACTCGCTTCCTCTTTAATATTAAAAAGACCGAGCTGAGTCAGATATTCAAGGACTTTGACATCTCTGGTGATGAGGTAACATTGTGTGTGTCTGTTGGTAGGTGAGAGTGAGAGAACAAATGCCTGGGGATATGTGGGTTCAGGGGCATAGCCAAGCGGGGCAGGGAGGGGCAGTAAAACAATAAAAATACTTAACTGACCAATCACATCAGTTCTCCCCCCCTAACAAAAGTCCTGCCCCCCCAAAAAAATCCTGGCTATACCCATGTGTGGGTCCCTCCCCTCCCCACCTATATTGCTCCATCTTAGTAAGTCTTTGACTTTCATTAGGCTGAAGAAGCCTCATCTAAGACTGCAACAACACGCACTATTGTTCGCACATCTGTGATGTCATGTGATTGACAGGTGGGTGGCAGTCCTGCCCACCCATCAAACTTGGCATGATGGGATGGTGTGTGTTTTTAAATTAAAAAAATCCAGTCGCCAGCCACATCCAGTTCCACACCCCCATTCAGAAGTCCATGGTAGGATTAGTTTATGTTCACAAGAATACCATGCATAATCCTGAGCTCCCTTGAGCCTACCCTTTTATCAACTTGGCAGCACCTCATGAAGCTGCTGGTTCCTCTGTGTGCAGGAACCATACCACACACATGAAAGGCATGCTAGCCTTAGACTTGCTTACCCATCTAAGATTCAGAGTTAATTGTAGCAGTCGTTACAGAAACACATGTAAGAAATTCCACTTGTCCGTTTGATAATGCAGGCCATAATGCCTACAAAAAAATACTTGACTAGAGAGGTTTACCTTCAAGATCACCTCAGAAGGGCAGAGAGAAGACATAAAGGGAAGGATGGAAAACGCCACGTTCCTCCCATAGAATACTTGCTTATGAACTAGCCATTGATATTTCACTAAACTGCAATATTACCTTTTCCTCTCCATCACCAGCAACTGAACTACAAGGAGTTCAGGATGTTCACTATCTTCTGCATTGACAGACAACAGAGGAAGGCAAGGGAGAAACTGAGGAAGCAGATAGCTAAGGCTGAAGCTGCAGCAGCAGAAGCAGAATCATTATCTGAATTTTCTTTCAGTGACCTTTAATTACATATGAAAGAAAAGAGTGTTGTTTCCCCGGCAGCCAGAAATTTAAAAAACGAAACAACCCGTCTCCACACCACATGAAGCAGAACACACGATAAACACTCATTAAAAACAATTTGCAGGCTGTTTACAAAGATCAGAAGAGAACAGTGAGAATAAAAATGTGTGTTGGGCTATATAAACACAATAACTTTCTAAATAAATAAATAAAGGTTAGTTTTTCAAAAAAGAGCCATCCATGCTAGATTGTTTATTCTTACTGCAAGAAGACCCACACTGACTTTCCCCCCTCCTCCTTCTGCTCCCCACCCCAACAGCCTGCTCTGGAGGATAGAGGGAACTCTCCAAAACATGGCATTGGCGGGGGGTGGGGGGTGGGTTAGCGGCAGCGGAAGAGAAGAAATCCCATTGTGTAGTCAGACGTCCTTTCGCTAATGGGACAATTCCAATGACAAAACCCCAAGTGAGAATCTGTGGCCATCTCTCTCCCCCCCTCTCCTGCCACAAATGCACACCCTGCTTTTTTCAATGCAGCACTAGGAGGAATGTTCTATCAGTGCAGGGATTTATCTGGGCACAATAGAACATTACCCTCCTCTCCTCTCCTCCCCCCAAACTGTTCTGTGGAGTTTCTCAACCCTCTAGAACAAATTTGGAGAAGGTGCAGGATATGCATGGGGAGTTGGAAATTCCCACTGCGCTAGTACAAACATTTAGCTGAATATTGTCCAATATTCTATTGTAATACATTGGTATGACAAGAGTTTAAAGTGTCACCTACAGACAAAGTTGTAAACCCAAGAGCTCTCAAGAGAGTTTAAAAACAGTGGCAGAATATAACCAAGAAGGCTTTTGCTGAGACCCTTCTCAGACAGCAGTGGGACCCAAGGGAGAGCACTCAATGCAGAACAAAGGTTGGACCATGGATTGTATAACAGCATCATAATTATCAGCAGTTTTATTTTCAATTCCTTTTCTAATGATCCCCAGCATGGGATTTTCCTTTTTCACAGCAGTCACACACTAAGTCCACATCTTCATTGAGCTATCCACTACGACCTCAAGGTCTTGTTCAGTCACGGCCAGTTCAGACCCTCAGTGCTTGCCAAATACCTGGGAAAACAAAAATGTCCTTGCCTGGTGCCGAAGCAATTGCAGGCAGGCTTCCCTGGGTAAAATGGGTGGCTACTACAAAAGGCCTTTTCTCACGTTGCCATCCTTTGGACCTTCCTTGAACGTAGAATGACAGAAAGAGCTTCAGATGCAGGTTGGGCCTTCATCTGACGGGTTGGGCAAGTTTGAGGTCTTTTAGGTATAGTGGTGATCAAAACAATCAGATATCTGGGCACCAGAAGAACATCATTTCAGAGGACATCCTCCAGACCATGAGACTGCAGGGAGGGACAAGGAAATGTTTTACCCTACAAGATGTTCATTTAGATCAACAGAAATAAACTACTTTGTATTAAGGTTAGCAAAGTGGAAACCCCTCCCCTCTCACATTCAGATAACTTGCAGTTTGAAAGAAAGCATAACCTGTGCGGCAAAAAATTAAAAGGAAATAGAGACGCGCCAAATTCTGAAGGGGTCACTGCAATGTAAGGTGTCCTGCCAAAGGTTACTTCGTGAATGAATGGCTGCAGCAAGGTGTAAACTAGGATCTTCCAATCCTGTACTCTCAGTTGTCATGCTATACCTGCTTAAATTCTACTCTTCCCAGAGATGAAGAGATATCAGCAAAATAATCACCATCTCTGGTTGTCAAGATTTAACCTCCGGGTTTTTCTCAAAGGCAGTTAGTGTCTGTTTTCTTGCTCTCTCTCCCCACCTCCCTAAGGGGTCCTGAATTTAAGGCAATTATCTAGGTATTACCATGGCTATAATTTTAATATATTCAGCAGCTCATCTGAACTTCCTAACAAGGATGATTCAAATCAGATTGACTGGTATGGATCAAATTTATGCTAAAGCCATATTTAGTTTATGCTCACATGCATGGCTAGCTGTTTTAGAAATTAAAAACTAAACCCAGAATGATATAAAGGGTTAATTGCTGGCCTGTGATTGGATTGCCAGTGACTGCCATTACTAAGATCTCTATAGAAAGCCTTATATTTTGCTAGCTGGGTATACCAAAGCATTTCTGTAATGATACAGACCGTTCACTGACCTAAGGACTCCAATAAGACAGAAGAGACACAAGAGGCATTTTGCAGCTATGTTGGGTTAAGAGAAAAAGGACACAGAGTTTGTATTTTAAGGCAAGGCATCTCCAGTACCAATTTTATTTTTAAAAGCCAAATAATAATAATAATAACCAGGTTTTCTTGTTGTTTTTCCTTTCTGTTTAATACATAGAGTACTATACAGCATATTCCTGACTTTTAGGAAATCATGATGCTACACTGATTTACTTCATTTAATTGGTCAAAAAAGAACCTATTTGTGCTTTGCTATAGAATTTTAAAGGTGTGCACATACTACTGCAATGTCAGCACAACATAGGTACAGTATAAATATATAGTGCACCTTGAAAAGGCTAACCCAAATGTTAACTGCATTTCCAGACATTTCACCTTTGGGCTGAAGGAGACTGTAAGAAAAGTTTCGCACATCCTGCATGTACAAAGCTAAAAGATTTAGTTTTATAAAAGTTGTACGGAGGAGGAGTGGGGAAGTGCCACATCATTGGAATTCCCCTAATCAGACTTCCCTTTTTAGCTACTGAAAACTGTGTTTCTCTGTATTGGTACCCAATTGCCAACCACCAATGTAACAAGAATGCTTCTTTTGATACATGGCACAGAACAAACACTGTACAAAAAAAGATTTACCAGAAAAGAGAAGATTTTTATTCAAGAAATACAAATTGATGGTACCAGCCATCTTTGGAAGCCACTACCAAGAGGCAAATAGGACATTTAATTCCAAGTAATTTGCTCGTAACACATTAGAGAAGAATGTCTTTACACACCTCCAGCTGCCTAGTACACAATTTCAGGCATTGCTCAAAAGGCGATCTCCAGTTTCTAGACGTTCCCAGGACATGGAGAGGAGAGGCACTGGTAAGACCCTTGACAGAAGACCATTTCACTGTTTTTGAGTTTAAGACCCAGCAAATTGTTAAAAAATAATAATCAAAAAATCCTTTCCCATCTTTGGCTAGATTCAATTGCCAGAAAAAGGGGGATTAAAAGTGTCAGGTGAATTTTAAATATTCATAATGAAAACGACCATGCTTGCATTTTTTTTTAATTGACAACATGGTTCTGATCCAGAGATAATCAGCACAATATTGAGAAGTATCTAATACATAGTGTCCTCAGCCGAAGGACATGAGTCTATTTCATCACAGACTGCCATTCAGAGCAATGAGGTTCCAACCTCCTTAGGAAACCAACCGTATTTAAACAAACAAAAACCAAACCATTAAGCCATCTTCATACTCTTAGTACTTAAATAAGCTTGCTGGCATGCACCACAGTGCACTCCTCTTTCAAAAGGGGAGTCACAGCCCTGGATTTAAGGCTTCCTATAAATGGGACCAGAGTCTACATAGAAAGAAAAGCGAAGAGACAGGAAGGAAATAAAAATAAACAGCTGAATTAAATTAAGAATACTTCTTGGACACAGAGATATTTTTAAACCAGCTACACTAGTCTTGGATACATGGCTATTAGGCAAAAGAATCAGTAACGTCACAAGTGTTGCATTTTCCTATTTTCCTGCTTTAGAATACAAGATGTTGAAAAGGCATGGTTTGCCTCTAAATTCAGTTCTACAACTCCCATATATTGTATTTCTTTACACCATTTACATACTGTTGGGTACAAATTGTGTGTGTGGTGGTGGTGTTTTTGTTTTTGTTTAAAAGAAAACACTCAGGAAAAGGGTTGTCAGAGAAGTAAACTGAAAATGGAATATTATTGCAGACAGCTGAAGAAATGCACCCCCAAAAAGCTCCATATAATCTTAAGCAAAAACAACCTAGCCAGGGACAATCATGTAAAGACCAAAAGAACTGCTGTTAGAAAACCAAATAGTTTTAGGCATCCGATATGCATAACTAACACTCTGAGACAAATTAAGAGATATGTCAATGACTGCAATCCTAAAATGATTTTCAAAAACAGCACAAAATTGCATTAACCTACCAGATATGTTTTTGTTATATTTTCTCCCTAAGGAGCAATGCACTAAACATGAAGGCCCATTTGCCCATCTTGCGAGCGGCACTTAAAATCTTGTTTTATCAAAACGCATTGTGCCACAGCTGAATATATTGCTCTCATCACATCAATCTGAATCCTGATTATTTTTGTAAAATGAATAATGAAACTACAGTATTGAAAAAAAGAGGTATTATCTTTGTCCATCAAAATCCTCTCAAAACCCAGTTTATTACACTGCAATTTCACACTACACCCTTTCCCAAATACCTTGTCTCTAAAGTTTAGAGATCAAGGGAATTACAATCATGGCTTTTAATGTGATCATTTTCTTAATCTCGTTGTCTCGTGGTAGAATTTTGTGTAATGCCAATGCAACTAATGTACTAAGCCAAAGCTCTAGTCACATGTTTTGTTTTCAGAATAGGATGGAGCACAGTAAGCAGTATGTGTCTCCTATGCATTCATTCTCCTCGCAACCCGCTTTTTTACATAATGCAGTATCAACAGCGCTACTGTCCTTTTGCCTTTCAAGCTCATCCAAGACAGATTACAGAGAGTCCATTACTTCTGGGTCATGTACTAGTGACACGTCTGCAATAACAAGCATGAAAACCAAAGCTCTGTGCTAAACAAACCTGCCACCACCATATGTCTGTAGATATAATTCACTAGCAAAGGGGAGAAGGTAAATCAGAAATGGCGTATAAATGTGTTAAACTGTAAAGAACAATATTGTAACTGTTTGCTTGTTTGCCCTTGGTAGCTCTATGCCAAGTGTTCTGTCTTTAGAATGTATGTGAGTGTGTGCATGTATGTCTGCAGAAGAGGCAAAGCTTCGACTCCAACGATGGGAATGAGCTGGCACAGGTCAGAAAACCAATCTGCATGCTGATAAAACGTTAAATGCATGCAACAGTGCTTACTTGAATTAGTCTTCTGTTAAAAGTAATAAATGAAATTGCTCGGCCTTGGAGATTAAAAACAATGAAAATCCAGTTGCCTCGCTTATTCTAACTGCTGGGTGAAGGTGAACAACATTAGGTGAAAGGGAT